TAACTTTAAAAGCCCAAATAAACCAATTGTTATCATCTGAAAGCTACTTTTGACAGTATCTATAAACCAGACCTTATTATTTTTTTTTAATATATTCATAAACAGACAAAATTATTTTTATGAAAAAAAAAAAACTTTCAAAGAAAGCTTTTATCTTTGAGTTTTCTGATTTATAATAAGTAATAATAAATTTAGGTAAAACTGTGATTTACAGAGTTACTTGTTGTATCTTAAAAATCATCAAACTTTTAGTGTTAGTCCTGGAAGGTCAGGATCAGCCGTAGTAGGTTAGGGTTAGGCCTTGGAGGTTAGAATTAGACCTTATAAGTTAGCCCTAGTAGGCTAGGGTTAGGCTTTGTAAGTTAGGGTTAGGTATAGAAGGTTAGGGTTAGTCCTAGTAGGTTAGGGTGAGGCCTAGAAGGTTAGGGTTAGGCCTTGTAGGTTAGGGTTAGGCCTAGTAGGTTAGCTCTAGTAGGTAAGGGCTAGCTAGTTGTTTAAGCTAGTTGATATTTTTTGATTGCTTTTTATTGTATCAAACTTAAAACCAAACTTAAATATCACAAATAATTATTAATATAAGTCAAATATCTTCTAAGCACACAGTTATTTAAAAAAAATCATCAGTTGGTGAATTATACGAAGAAAATTCTTAAATAATAAAACAGCAGGAAAAAGGTGAAAAAACCGATTATCACAAATTGAGAGACTATCAACACGGCTCTGTGTTGAAAACTTTAACTACCCAAAATTTTTGGAAGGACTGATTCCAGATGTAACCAGCTGATAGTTTTATCAATGAGCTCTTTTTATCATAGTATCCAGAGAATCGTGCACTACAATGTTAGAATAAGAAGATCGATAGCTGCAATAATGTAGCCCTCTCCGATTTTTTTTATCTGATGTTTTCTGGAGAGGGCTACAATTCCATCGCATCTCCGTAATGGTGCAAATATATTTTTTAAATACGGGCGATTGAAGGCAAAATAAATTACTTTTACATTCAACTTACTTCTTATAAGACGTAAGTTTTATTCACTGTCAACAACATAGCCCGCTAAACTCGAAAAACGTGTAAAATATATATGCGTGTTTACCAGCAGCAGCCATGACAGTTCACGCGTGACGTACTGAGACTTTCGCTTGAAATTTAGAACAACTTATTAAAGCAAATGTCGATGTTTATAAACGACTGTGCTGAAATGTATCACAAAAATATCGATAAATAAAACAATTTCAAGTGTTATTTTTACGCAAACAGCGATATGTATGCTTAAAATAAGGGAATTCCTTAAAGATCCGCTCCTATAGATTCTAAATTCTCATTGACTGTCCCAAAATAAAATCTATCAAGGTCAGTAAACATGGCGGATAAATTCAAGTTGTGATGATGTTGACATACACGAAAAATAACTGATATATGGGTCGTTGTGAATATTTTTGGATCGATTTATGTCTTGCATAATTACTTTTTTGGAGTCCAGGTAAGAAATGTGAATAAAATAGCCGTTTACTGATGATTTAAGCCGAAATCCGTGTGGGAGTGTTCACTGCCGCATTGCACCATTACGGAGATCCTTAGGAGTTGTAGCCCTCCCCCCCCCCCCAAAAAAAGGGGGAGAGGGTTACATTATTGCAACTAGAAGAACGATAACTCCCCTAGGACAAACCAGTACGGATGTGCTTATGATGCCCGGATCTTCTTCTAAATCTAAAGTAAACGCATGTTATATTTCCGACCAAAGATTACTGGACTTAATGCTTTCTCAAAACAGAAATGTACTAATTAATCAAGCTTTATTCAGAAGTTCCGACTTACCTGGTATGTTTTGTTCTTGATAAAATGAATTCATAATGTTACAATTACTTGTAATAAATTGCATTATAGGAACATAATTTTTTTAAAATTTAATTGTGTATATATAATGTCTTAACGCTTAATTGAACTGGATCGACCAAGGACTTTGATTTACAAGGTACCATACGAGGAAAGGGTCTCCACTTCCAGCAATGATTCGAACCGTAAGGAACAGTCCCTTAAACACCACTCATGAATAGGCATACACCATTTTCTATATCGTTATCTACGATACATCGTCACCAGGAAATACTCTCCGCATTCGTTACACCTGGCTGTTTTATTGTCACGGGTATCGGCGTGGAATGGCGACCCGTATTTGTGCTGGTTATCTTGCATTATCTTTGTTTACGCATATTTGTGTTTGTTTGTATTCAGCACTGACCTGTGCAACTGTTGTAAGTGTCTTTGGTATCGTACTTTCCTGCACTGGAAGAAGTACACAGTTATTTTTTGTCGCTACTAAGTATTGTATAGCACACGTCTATGTACACCGGTGCCGATTTGAACAGTGGACAGTGACTAAGTAATTCTATTTATAGGAGCCTGCAGATATAGTGAGAACTCGAACAAATATGGCGATCAAATTCTTTTTACGAATCGTGTTCAGCTTTAATTTGAAGCTCTAGAGCAGACGTTAAAACCACTGCGCCACGCGGGCGACAATATGATAGGTGAACCTAATCTGAGAAAAATCAAAGTTACGTATGGTTAAATCACCTACATTGCCAAATTAAATACAAGTATACCACACATAATGTAGTGTTAACAATGTTCAGAATTCATTTACAAACATAAATGTTTCAATTGCAATTTAACAGTTATTTTATTACAAATCAGATTTTATGCCGAAAATTTCTTTTGAATCACAATCGCATTCTATTACATGCAAAATCTATATGCCCAAGCAAGTCCCTGGCCCATCGGAGAAACAGAAGAAGACTGTAGTTTCTGTCTGTCTGTCCTACTTGGTTTTCCGCACTTTTTACTTCACCCTTGGAGATTTTGATTTCATTTTTTGCATGTTAGTGTATCTTGATGAGTTGCAGGATAAGCTCATAATTTGTTCCGCATTAATTTAAAGGATTACGCGCTTTTTTCTTAACGCTCTTTTTTTTTCTTAAATGCCCAAATGTACGATGACCGATTTGAGCCGTCAAATTACAAGACAGAGTAACTTTATGTACGCATAATGAAGTAATTTCAATCTGATTAAAATCAGATCCTTTGATCCGCTCACATAGATCGCTACACAAGGATCTGAAGAAACCCATTCAGGGTCATCTCCTGGTGACCTTTGAATTATCCAATCAAATGTTTACTTTGGAGAATTGGAAAGTATCTCGGAATTCAGTTACAGAGAGAAAAGGCCCGATGATACACGAATGGAAAAACCGTGACCTAGTTTCTGTAGCCTGTCAAGAGAAGGACCACAGTCTTTTTTGTACAGTAATATAATAAGTACTTGCTTTTGTCTTGTTTTTAGCTCTTTGTTTTGTACGAAACGACAAGATCTCCTCCGCAACTACATTTCACTTCTAATTTCGTCTTCCCGAATGTCGCTTAAGTACGACCTCTCTGATTGGTAAAAATTTTCATGAATATTTTTATTGGAAAGGTCACCAGGAGATGACCCTGAATGAGGTTTCTTCAGATCCTTGCGTAGCTATCTATGTGAGCGGATCAAAAGATCTGATTTTAATCAGATTGGAAGTAATTTCAACAGTATTGCATGTAGTATCATTTTGTACATATACAGCTTTGACGATGACAAAACACTTAAAGTTGTAATATAAACTGGTACACGTACAAATCTATACTCGCCTATAAGATTCAACAAAACTATGTGTCCGACTTATAACATGGTTTTATATGAGACAAATGAAATATAAGCTTATTAATAACAACATTCCTTATCGAGTATATACGGTACTTAACATTCCTTCGATTTATTGGGAAGATTATCTGGAAACTTTTACAGGGTCTCAACAAAAAAAAGTCATCGTTTTCTTCTCAGTTTTTTAACAAGGGGAGGGTACTTTAGAGATGTACGTCCATTCTATCAATGATTTTAAAAACAGCATGATTGATTTTACTTTCACATATTTCGTCAATAATTTTTACTGTCTGATTTTTCCATCAAGGCATATTTTATAAGTATCGTTATTCAGATTCTACAGTTAATGAGTTGCGTCCTCCAGTAGAAAGGTGGCGGATTCCTCTTCCTTGTCCCAATGAAAATAAATAAGTTATGGAGAACAAAGTAATAAAGCTCGTACGCAGAACATCATCAAGCTACAGTTTTTCATCTGACGGGAAGGGATATAATAATGATGCAGCTTCATTGCTTCTTGAAATTTTATCCAGTATTTTGGGGTCTACAATTGATTAAAAAGGTTTCGTTGTCGTGAAAGCTAAAATCAAACAAAATCACAAGGAATCTCAATGAAGACACTTGCAAAATGTCCCATGATAGAAAGATTTGAATATTGAGATCTCAGTCGACGCATCTGAAAGTGAAAACAATCTGGCTGAATTTTGTGATCAATAAAATGAAGTACAAAACACTTATTTAACAATAAAGAGTGGAGAGAAGGGAAAAAAGAGATGATATCATATACACATTATTTTTGTTTTCATCCCTGTCAAAGTTTACAGATAATCTTCCCAATAATGTTAAGTAGTCTCAAATGTATTTTGTCTTAAGATTTGAACATATACAAATTAATATTACATTTTCAAACATTTTGTCATTGACAAAACTACATGTACAGAATGGTACTGGTAATGATATTTAAGTCAATTAATTCCCCGTTTCTAAGAGAGTTCCTTTTACTGATGTCGGTCATCGTATAAATGTTATTAGATTTAATTTTATGCAATAATCAGTATTCGCTAACCTATCTCTAGCTCATTCAGATGCTACATTAATATTAAATGTAACGAGCCGTCATATTTACTAGATATGTGCTGGGTTACATAATATAAGATTATTATTAAACAAAGAAGTTGCATGTTGGAATATTTTTCAATTGTGATCACCAATACACAAATGCATCCAAAGCATTTGCATAACATTTATTTGTTATTTTTTGTACAACAAAAAAAATAATGTATTACCTTCCATAAATACAACCATTTTTTTAATACAAAAGTTAACATATGTTTTTGAAAATATGTATTTCCGATAAAAAGTGAATAAACTTCAAAATCATCGTTCAACCACAAACTATTTTGATTTAATATTTTAGCGCAAGCTACATTTGTAAGTTTACAACATACAATGTACAATTTACACAATATATTGAACATATTCATAAAATGATTATCCAAGCAAAATTAAACACGTACACCTATTTTATCCTTTTAACATCAGTTAACTTGTCACTAAACAGATCTTCAACATGAAAAGACATGTTAGCTAAAAAGAAATATTAATTTTTTTAATTTTAGACATTATCTTAAATAATGAGCAATTAAATTTAAATGTTAAAAACATCAAAAAAGATTTTTTCTAAATGTTCACGGAAATGCGAAATCCCCCCACACAAAATATTTTATACGACTCCTCATTTTGTTGTCTTCGCCAACAATTCTTTTATCATTTTCAGAATGTTCTTCTGATATTTTGAAGGTGTCGAAGTTTCTTTCCCTGAAATACACATTTGAGGTATAAATTTAGACAGCAAACTGTTGATTTGTACTTAAATAAATTTTTGTTAATATTTCATAATATTTTATAAAATTATATTTAAACAGGTATCATCTTATAGTATATAATTATTAACTGATATGAAATAATACATTTTTCCCGATTCATAGACTTCTAGTAATTGCAAAATAATAAAATGACAAAAAAAAACCTTCATTGTTCTTTGAGCAGTCATGAGCCGAACAGGCCATTTTCCCATCTGTGCAAACACTGTTCAAACAAGATATAAAGTCACATTTAACTTTAAAAATTAAATGAACGTTTTCCTGAAAGAGTCCAAGGACCTCTGAACATATTTATCTCCTTTTTGTTATCTTGGTAACACTATTGAATCCCGTTGCATCTTTACTCTAACCAAAGACATTGATTTGGACAATAATCAATTCAATTCAATATCACCTGAATACAGGCATATGTGATTATGGATGATGCTTAACAAAGACGTATTTAACCCTGGCATTTTATCGACGAGAATGCTGCCCATGCACCCCATCAGTTGTTTGGACTTACCAAGGGATTGACGCAGTAAATATAGGTAATATTCTTGATTTCCAAAAAACATATTTTTATTCTACTATATTTCAAGAACTCTTTATCCTAACAAATACGGATCGACTATAATTGCTTTTAAACCTTTACAATGCAAACCAAATCTAATGTGCTCAGTTAAAGAACATTTGAACCATACTTCTTCAACTTGTTCATGTTCTTCTTAAAGGGACATGGACAGTTTCAACTAAGAAATTTCAAATTTATTTTCCATTTTTTACATCTATTTAACTTTGGTATTTCTAATGATCATCAAAAATTTGAATTTCAGTTGTCAAGATACAAGACAGATCTACAGCTGCAAACCTTTATGTAAACATGTTTTTGTTTTCATAGGCTAAATGTTTATATATGTTCGTTCAAAACATATTTTTTCAATAAAGACGTTAATTCTAAATGCAATGTAAAGTTTCTAGTGATATGTTGAATCTCGCTTTGTTTTATGATATGTTCCTTCATGTGAACAAAAACAAGGATGCGAGCCTTGTGTACATTTTGAAGAATTTGAAGTTATATATTTTCTTTGGAAATCAACAAATGACGTTCAATTTTTTGCTGTACATTAGAGTTGCCTTATTTAGGAGTTACCGGCATAAACATTAAATTTGTTTTTAATAAAATAAGTTGAAACTGTCCATATCCAAGTAACTTTTATCGATCGCAATGAATTCCACGTTTAATAAAATCAAAAAGGAGCTTTTTGGAGAAAATCTTGGAATGGAAACACAACATTTATATAATATAAAAAAGATAATCTGAATTATGAACAGTATTGTAGCAAATGTATCATGTTACTGACACCTAACCAAAACTATTAGATTAATAGCATGTTAGGAAAAGTTAGTAACACCGGTAAACAAGACCAACCTGAACTTTGCTTAAACATCCCACAATATTATTTAAAAAAAAGTATGCAACTCTTAATCTAACGAAGCAATAGGTTTTTCAAAAAAAAAAATCCATATCTAAATGTACTGTATGTGACTCCAAATTTTACGGAATTCAACCAAAACTATAGAGGGTCATAAGTACTTTAAGAACCCTCTCTACACTGCACACGACAGAGTTCAATTGTATTTTCTGCAGTTAGATGGATCTGCGCTTAGATCTAAATTCTAAAAAGTAATAATTAGAAATTCACAGTATATTACTCAATTTATAATCAATTCAAGTATCTTAAACTTTTTGAAAGGCCAAGATAAATTAATTGCACTTGTTATTTACAATTATACATGTATTTTCTGTATAGAATTCAACAACGGTTATTTCTATTCACTGATACTATGTTGTGTTTGATTATTTTTTCCGTAAATGCCATGCGCCATATAATAAAAATCAAATAGATAATTATGCTCAATATTTACACCTTTATGATACATTTTTCTCAATGTCCAAAAACATTTTGCAATGGTGTAGAGAGGGTCATTACAGAAAAATAACAGAAGAATAAAACCAACAGTCAGACAAGTGATCACACATACACAGACAAACAGACTGATGCTGATACATTGTTAATGTTCACGAGCTTTTTTTCAACCATTACAATCTGATTAAAATCAAATCCTTTGATCCTCTCATATAAATCGCTACACAAGGATCAGAAAAATAAAACATTCGGGGTCATCTCCTGGTGACCTTTCAATATCCAATCAAACGTTCAATTCCAAGAATTCAGAAGTATCTCAGAATTCAGTTACAGTAGTAAAAGCCCCGATGATATACGAACGGAAAATCGTGACGAATTTTCCGAAGCCAGCCAGGAGAACAACCACAGTATTTTATGTACAGAAATATAATAAGTTCTTTCTTTTGTCTTGTTTTTTATCTCTTTGTTTTGGACGAAACAGAAAGATCTACTCCACAGATACTTTTACTTCTACATTCATTTTCCCGAATGTCGCTTAAGTATTATCTCTCTGATTGGTCAAAATTTTAATGAATATTTTTCTTTGATAGGTCACCAGGAGATGACTCTAGATGGAGTTTTTTTTTATCAGATCCTTGTCTAGCGATCTATGTGAGCGGATCAAAAGATCTAATTTTAATCAGGTTGCAACCATTAAAACTGGAAAATGCCAGAATAATTATACTTTGTGTAAAAGAGGAATCAATACCAATTTATCGTAAATCAAAACATTTTGCTAAAAAGACATATACAACTTTTAGGTTTAACAATAAAAAGGTAAGGCATTTCATTAAAATTTTATTTTTCTCTATATCATACGAATATTATTATTTTAACGCTGGTATTAATCTCTTTTATAATAAGGGATATTTTTTTTTGAACTATAAAAGAACTTACCATGTATTACACTCTCTCTGCATGGATTCGCCATCCGAGTAATGAATTCCAGACATGAGACAACCTAGGGACAATTAGATTCAAAATGACCGTAAAAATCACCACAATGTTAACTAATTATATATTTTATTTTAAAACAGATATCTACTTTTATTTTTAATGAAATTGACTGATATTCAACGCATTATTTTCGTCTTTTTCATGAAAAGATCATTCTGACATCAAATTCTCGAAGAGATTAAGCAGAAAACATTTATTTAAAAAAAAATTGGTGTTCATTGTGGTTAAAAATTAAAGAGAAAGATCGACAATTAGTATCTGATCCTCTATTTTTTCTAGAATTCAAAGAAAAAAACTGAAATATATTTATACTTGAAAAATTCTTTTAAAATGTGTAATTTTTTTATCAAATGAAAGAAATCCAATTTGCATCTTTGTAAGCCAAAGAGAACATATCAGCTGTCTTTTCATTGGTTCGAGTAGAATAAAAAATTAACCACGGATCTGAGGAGGTGGGGAGAATTAGTAAAAAAACATTGGCTTCCAAAGGATGATTTGCAATTTCGAAGTTTAAAGCCACAGTGAACGTAAGGACATCTACTCCTTGAACTATTTAAAGCTTATAATTATTGTTTTAACGTAAAAAACATTCTAAACCGAGATAAATACCAGAGCATTAGTAAAAACTAATCACATGTTCGTGCTTTGTAAGATTATTTTTATCTTTTGAATAAGTAATGTATTAACAATGTATTAAAAACAATAGTTACATTGGTTCAATCTACTAATTATAAGTACACGCAAATGTAACAATTTTCTTCAATCAAATTATTTCATCTTTTAATAATGATATGCTAAAAGCAATTGTAACTTAAGAAAAGAAAAAAAAACACCATGAAAAATGAAATATATAATTATAACGACAACAAACAGTATTTAAGCTGAAAAGTCCATTAAACAATTATACTTATTTTGGAGCAGAGCAAACACACAACTCTAAAACATCAGAGGTTGGGTCAGATGCCATGGAGGAGTGAGCATCAAAATATAACATTTTTAAAAACATTTTTTTCTAATAATAATTTTTAATCAGAATATTATTTTCTTAATGACCAACATGCCGTAGATTCGTAATTATACGCAAGGAATTAATTATCGCGTAATTTCGCGTGAAGCACCTCTTGCGAAAAAAAATACTGTCTTGCTTTTGTTTTTATCATACTGAAATCCTTTGAATCTCTTGTTAAACGGTCCATCTGCGAATTATTATTCTTGCGATTTGGCATTGAAGAGCCATTTCGCGATAATAAGTTCTCACAAAAAATAAGTAATCTACAGTACTAAAAGTCACGGCAAGTTAAGAAATAATAATAATAAAAAAAAACAATTTACATAATTTTTTCTTGTGTCAGTTAGGATTGTTAACTCTACAACACTTTCCCAATTATTTAGCAGAAAATTGCTCGATTAAATCGAGTTTTACCTTTTGAAAAAGGAATCAGTTCTGGCTTCAAGAGTTCGGTGAACTCCGCTTGGTCTAGTTTGAAGTCTTTGTTATTATCCACCTTATCAATCATGGCATCTATACACGCTATCCTACAGAAAAATTAGCATGCAATATACATTGTGTATTACCTCAGTGTTATAAATTTCATTTCAAATATGTTGTTCCTCCCTTTTAAAAAAAAACTATTTGTGATTTAGACTTTTAAAGTATTCAGTAAACCTTATGCTGGTATTTTTATGTTTGAATGTTGCAAAATTGGTAAAATTATTATTGTAAATAAATATCAAATACTTTTGTCGGAAACTTTTAGATATATCTGTTGATTTGTCGTTTCTTTTTTGTCTGATGTAATGGTATATTTCATCTGACGTTATGTAAATGTTCATGTCGTTGTCCACAGATTTGAAGTAGGTTTTTGCTTTTTTTGATACTACGTCATCTAAAATGAAAATAAATATAATTACAATCTATTGTTAATCAACGTGTGAATAATTAAGGTTCAAAATAAAAAGCGAAATTGAAAAAAAATCTAATAATCGGAAGTCGATTCAAATAAAATACCAATATTTTGAAAGTAAGTTTTTGTTTTATCTTGTAAATTTATTCTGCTAAAAAAAAGTTTATGTTTTTTTTTATTTAATTGGTTACACGAAGCTGAGATTTTATTGCACAAGAAATTTTATACAAACACACGATACTAGTAGTCCATAAAAATATTCCATGGGGAAAATCTTATTCATTTATTGACCTGGATCTAAGGCAACATGCGTTTTGTCAGACTGTTTGGGAACAATTTGGATTTCTGGTTCTGTAAAACGCATTCAATCCAGGTACGCAGCTAATAGATATTTATCATAGATGTAGCTTATAAAAGTATGTTGGATGACCCAATCGTAAGCCGAGGACTTCGAAATGAGAGGAAAAATACATTTTAACTTTCACAGAAACCTTTTTCGAGCATCATAGCAAACGATATTTTTAAATAAAATGTTTAAATGTATAATAAAATGCAGTATTAAACATGTACACTATGAAAATATGTGCAGGATGGTGAACATGAATCTAACTCTCTTTTTCCCGATCTTTACCTCTCCCATTTTTAAGCATCAGTTCCATTAGGAAAATCTTTCTCATGTACACTCTGGCGTCATCTTTACACTTCAAAGGTTTCCAAGTGCTGTTCTTAAGCTTTTTAATTTCCATTTCCTTCTTGCTCACTGTAAAAGTAATTCATAATTTCTTATTGTGGTCTTACGAATAATACTCATGCTAAAGATCCATTAATCTTTGTTTTTACCTCATTCATAAGAAGGATGCACGGAGTACGATGGCTTATTTCAATTTATAATGAGGTATATTTGTCTTAATTAGCATGGAAAATATGCAATGCAAAGAAAGGCTACGATATTTTTGTTCTTGTTTTTAACTTCATGATCCTATTTGGTGATTTTTTAATATTTCTTTGTAAACAATGCCTCTGTAATGGTATGCTTGTCAAATTAACTGTTTTAATGAATAATAAAATAGAACATCTTTGTTGGCATGCAATATTTATAATGTGTCTAATTTATTGGGGAAGAGAGACATGAAAATAAACAGCCTAGTCTTTCTGTTACGGAATGGACAAAAAACAAAAAAGAAATGATACAAACTTTTTTTATTGATATGAAAAATCGTGAACATTAAAAATTAAGTATGGGATTAAAAAAAGTATTTTATTATTTTGATAAATTAGATATTACCTAAATCAGTTACAAACTGTAAAAAAAGGTTAAATACTTAATATGAGTTACACAAGAAACATATAAAAATCCCTACAGAGAGAGAGAGAGAGAGAGAGAGAGAGAGAGAGAACTGACCTATACATGGTCCTTTTTCTTTGACTTTAATGTGCCTCTTTTCTATGCAAGCAGTGCGGTGGAGAGAACAGGGGTTATGATAGGTTCGTCCATCATTTCCACAGACCAGGTGCATGTGGTCAGGGCAGTAACTTACACACTGACACGTGGCTACCTTGTTTATAACTACACACTGTCTCCCAGCTCTACACAATTTCAGAAAGCAAAGGTCTTCTGAAATCATAATGTTGAAAAATACTCACATACAAATAGGGTTAACAAATGTTGAATTAAAAATTAGAAATTTTAATTATACATGTATGTGATTTTATTTGACTATAAGAAAAATGTCAAAACATAAAGTATGACCTACAAATAACATAAAGTTTCAAATGAAAAAAAATATTTGTTCATAAAATTAAATATAAAAGCGTTAACACATTATTCTTTTGTTTACATTTGCATGAAAATATATATTCAATTGAGTACAATAGTTTAAAAACTTAGTCTTTTAAAGAAGAATTGTACAAAATACACATCGATAAAATACTAAGGATGGTATATGCCACTTGCTAGAATATATTTAACTTTATGGGTATATGAATTATTTCAAAGTATGAAGTTTTATTACATTTCAAATGGATAATAATTTTGAAAAAAATATTTTCCTACTAAAAAGAAAAATAACAACACAAATCAAATACTGTTGTATGCATACCATCTGTCAACGTCACATTGGTCTGAAACATGAAAAAGGAAACATTACAAGAACTTGCCACACATTCGAAGTAAGGGAAATGGTTCCTATACATATGAAAATGTACAATAACTCATTCAAAAATAACATTTTCCCTGTTGTATGCTTATATATTATATTACATTAATAGAACTATATACTTGTGTTTACAATGCACTTTCCTTTTGCGCAATGAGGGTCTTTAATTGGTCAATAAACTAACTGATTTGAATTAAATTAAATTTGTATGATAAGACAATATTTCAAAAAAAAAAAAATTTAAAACATTAATCCATGCAGATGAATACACTTTTATAATGAATTACACATTATGCCTGAACAATAAAGAATAAAAAAGTCATTTTTCTGATTGTAGGATATTCAGGAAAAAATCCAACCTTTATTTGACTCTTATCATTTTACAATAACATAGAGATTACAAGAATTTTTAACATACGGATGAATTAATACATGTACATAGCAATATATGCAATGTGAAAATTATATGAAAATTCGTGCTTGACCATGTATTCCTATGGGCTTGGTAGATAAAACAAACTGGCAAGTCTTGGACGTATAAATATTATCGAAAACACCCATTTCATGTGTTAATTGCACGGCCATGAATTTACGTTCAGAGTGTACTTTACAGATCTTAACTGTGAATAAAAGTACATTAAATTATATTTTGAAAGATGGATCTTACCTCACTTAGACAGGCTGCAAGTTGACACAGGTAGAGTATAGCAAGAAGCAACTGCTAAAGCACAAAACATCGTAAATAAAAAAAAAATCGAATATATATAAAAAGAGAAATCAAAAAATGATTTAGAACATATATGTTTCTTTATCAAATCTTTACAATTAAAATTGAGGAGAGTCATAAATAAAAATGGAGATATAAATGTAGTTTTCATATTTTTTTGTGTGGGTATTTTGATCATAAATTAAACAAACAATATATAAGAAATAAAAATGATGTATTTTTATCACAAATTAAACCAACAATATATAATAAATAAAAATGATGATAAAGTAATAGGTTTCTACATGTATTTTACAAAAAAGGAAACACAATATCCTAAACTTGTCATTATTTCAGACCATGATACTAAAAAAACTGAATATTGAATCCTTACATTCAATTAAGAGAGTGTGAAACACATATCGTTTATACATATGATAAATATTTTACATATTCAAACATTATGTTGAAAAATACTAAAATAATCTGATAAATAAAACATGACCTCCTAGAACTCGTTTGAATTATATATAAAATATAAACTAGAACATGTTCAATGTAAATTATTTTTGTTTGGTACTACAAACACGTACGTATTCTAAAGCGAGTTTATCCTTCAAAACTTCATATTAAACAACAAATGATTGATACGCTTTTGACATTTATTACTTATTTCCAATGTGTCACGCTTGCCCTAGGCTGTCTTCGACAGCCATGATTTCTCAGCTTTTTTAATGGCGAATAAGAAACAAACAAATACATTTTTGTCTCCATTCACAGTACACACGTGTTAGCAAACTCATTTATAAAGAAATAACCTGAAATTGGAGATATAATATGAACAAAAAGTTGACCTTACCTTAAAATTGTGTATTGCCTTCATTGTCCTGGTGGGATTGACTAATTATATAACAGAATTTCCTATTCTGACAGACAAAAGACATCAAATTGTCAACGTTTGTCATGCATCGAAAGTCCACCTGTTTAAGGTTCTTAATGAATGAAAAGGGAGATAATTACTCATTCAGTGTAGATTAAGCAGAGAATGCAAATGAACTTTTTATACTATTTAACGATTTCCTGTTTACATGTTTTGGTCAATCTTATTGGTCAAAAAATTATCACTTTAGATTTAAAACATCAATATCTTCTCCAAAGAAAGTGCTCTACTTATTTCAAAAATTAATCTAAGTCATCCAAATGATAAACACATTTAAACACTAAAGAAGCATTGATAACCCAAATGGAAAGGGAAAATATCGTCCAAAATTTATAACATGAAGAATGCAAAAAAAAAAAAAAAAGGAGAAGAAGAATTCGCTAAATATGTGTGATAGAATATCAAAGTGCGCAAAAACTCTCAATTACCTAAGAGAGTTGTAGAAATACTCCCTGACTTGTAGTACTGAGTAACATAAAGAGATTAAGCTATCCCAACAAAGAAAAAAAAAACCAGACAGATATGTGTTGTTATCTAAAGCAATATTTCAGTCACAATCGCTGATTCAGCAATGACGTCTCAACCCCTCATTTATAACGTTACAGCCAATGACACCATGTTACGACAAGAAAGGCAAAGAGAGACCCAAAGAAATTGTAATAAACAGAAATTCAATATCAAGAAGTTGTATATGAATTTGTTTTACTCATGTGTCCTGTTCCTTGCCGGCTGTTGCAGCATTGAATGTGAGAGAACATATTACTTTTATCTTGGGCTTATTGGCCTAGTTTGACAATCTATGAAATAAAACTTTTCATCCTCGTGGGCACTGGACAGGTACTGCTGCATCAGAGCCCAGTCTGAAGTATAGTATTTTACTGTAAAAAATCTCATTTTCTCCTCAATATCATGTTTTTGCGTATATTTTGCTGTAAAAAAAAATTGTCCCACTTCTAAAAGAAACAACTGGATATCTTCTGTGTATCACTTATAGGCATAAATGGGAAATAATTTTATTTTAAAATAGGTGACCTGACATTCTTCTCCGATAAAAATGTTCAAAGAGAACATTGATGAAAAGATTCAAATGTTGCCTAAATATATTGAGGTTATGGCATGTATAATTACTTCACTTTGTTTCAATATTTTACTATCAATCCTTGAATTGATTATAAAGTACAATGCACCATGCGTTTCACTTCATTCATTTGAAAAGTGATCAAATAACACATTCTTAAAAGTTCCTTGAAATTGAATCGAATTCAGTGTGAATCTTGCACTTTTTCTTATACATGTACTCATAAATCCCTTTTTTGAAAGACATCTTCAAAATCATATGTCAGTTTTGAATATTTTTTTCTAAAAAAACAAAAACAAAATGAATTCGTATTACCATATCCATATTGGACTCCGAAACTTCTAATAAATCCTTTTAAACAAAGGTACATAACAGATTTTAGTAAATTTTGAACCAGTCCTCTTTCTTTATTCCTCAATAAAATTTTAAAAGGAGTGAAATAGAGACTTCAAGAGTATTGTGCAGCAATATATTCGAGAAGTAGGGTTGATCAGATGTGAATACTAAAAAATTCCAAGGAACGTTTGGAAAAATTGAAATCACAACAATGTACCAAAATCAACAGCTTAAACGACTTTTCAACTTTACACAAAAGCATTCCCCACGATAAGTTAAAGTCCAGGCTTTTTGATATCATTGACAGCTGCTTTTTCAATAAAATGGAATTCGTAAATTAACTGACCTTGTCATTGGTCTTTTGCAAAATTTTTTTGTTTAGACACATTCTGATTGTACACACATACTATGAAGTAAACATTAAAAAGATGTTTGAGTTTCTGATTGACAATATCTATGTGGTTTTTGGAGACCACATCTTCCAACAATCTATTGGAATTCCCATGGGTACCAATTGCGCCCGTTATTAGCAGACCTATTTTTGTATTCATATTAAAGCAAAATTTATCCAAAATCTTATTTGTGAAAATAGGAAAACATTTGCCGTGGCCTTCAACTCGACATTTATATATATCGACGATGTATTCTAACTACCAATCTCTATGATAAACGTGATGACTTTAGTTTTCAGTTGTGATTTCCCTTACTTATGAATCAATATACCTTCATCAATTGCATACGGTGTTTATACAGGTATCTCTCAGTTGATTCGATATGCAAGAACATATTCTAAATATGCACAATTTCTCAAAACGAGATAAATTATTGACAGACAAGATGATGATTTCAGTGGCGACCGTTGAAAATCATCATTTCGTAAGTTCTATGGTCGATACAATGACATTGTCAGCAAATACAATTTATCATTGAGTCATGTGCTGACAGCGTTTTTCATACTAATTGTTAGGCCATTATTTGCACACTGAATAGTCGACTGATTTTTCTGTTGTTTCCAGATTTTGACAAGGAGCACACGGCTGGTGGAGGTTCACTCCTTCAAGGCACCTGATCCCATCACTGTTGTTTTGGGTTGTTGTACCGTATTTGCTCTGCTCCTATTTTGTATTGCTTGATTGACTTTTGCGCTTGAATACTGTTCGTTATCTCCATATATTTCATATGGAGCATCCATTAGAAACTTTGAAACTCAAAATGTAAGCCAATATTAAGACTGAATCAAATTGTTAGAAAAAATGAAACGTTTGTGAGTATTAAGAACAAAAGTTTCAAAGGTTACAAAGCGCAATTCAGTTAGATTTATCTTTAAGTAAGTCATATTCCCACACAAAACAAATGCTCTGGCAGTACGTGTGCCTTTATAAATGCAATATTACACATGTGTGGTTAAAGTAGGATTTTCAATAATCGAGGAATGGACTTGCTCGAAAAGTCATTCTGACAAATTCTGAATCTGTTAATAATAAACAGGATGAGAAAGTAGACAATGGGAAGAAGAGCACGATTACGTGTAGACAAAGCTTTAACCTGTTATTGTTAGGACTATAAGAAAAACACATATAAAGCAAACAGCAGACACCTGTTAGTACAACTCAAACAGGAAACGTAGAAACAGATGAACGTACAGACAGACAAATTCTAAGTCTGTTGAAAATAAAATAAGTCTCTTGGAAATATTCCAAGGAATAATTGAAGCAATTAACTACTGAACATCTTAAAAGTGAATTTTTTGAATCGTCAGTCAGCAACCTTTGAGGAGCCTAATATGAAAGGGAAAAAATAATTTTTAAGAGAATTATTGTAGGTGTGTGTTTTTTACAACATCCGATTTTCACCTAATAAAATTTGGAAGTCAATTTGCTGTTGCAGATGCTGTTCGATTAAAAAACTATGATTTTGGTTCAATCGCGCATTTCAGACCCAAATAATAATTAGTCCTGTGAGAGTTAAGGAAATGCTGAGAGACCTAAACAAAAAAAAAAACACAAATGCTTGCTTCTGACTTTATAAATGTTTGAAAGACTAGACTGAATATAACTGATGCAGAGATACTTGGGATAGAGTAAAAATAGATTTGGATGGTTTTGAAATGTATACGAATGATTTTAAGTGCAGGTCTAAAAAAAATTTAAATATTGCCTTATGATGATGTTTTGGCAATAAAGTTATTAAATCAATTTGTGTCTGAATCAATTGTCCATATGAAAATGTGCAAGGAAAATGCTCTGTAAAAATTCTATCGAAAAAATAGTGGCAGTTGAAAATTTTAATTTTCTTGATATAGTGAGACCTAAATAAAAGTTCCCATTGAAACTTTCTGATTGGGCGCAGGCTTGTTATTGGATCTTTGAAGGGTTTCTCTGACAAAAAGGGGAGGGACATTATCAAAAATTTATTTTATGTACCTAACTTATCTCCGAAAACAGAAAACTGTGAAAGAGGAATTGACTTGTTCTTTAAACTAATTGCAAAGAATGAATATACCTTATTGCAAAACTGTTCGGAAAAGATAGCTGTTCATGAAAGAAATCCTTCTTTGATAGTGCTCTGAGACATGAAGATAACGAAAATTTATCAAACTCTCAAGTTCATGGGGAGCAGAACAGAAACGGACATCTTAAATCACAAGGGGGGATGTCTGGTGCCATGAAAGAGTAAGCGTGCCCTGTCGATCGGAGACACCCAGTGTGTGTAGTCTTTAATATGGAAAACAGGAACATAAGTGTGAAAATAATTGTATTTTAAAAAAAAAAGACTGAAATTTGTGTAAAAATTTTCTGTCGATTTTTCTTCTAACAACAGACTGTATTTGCAATCAATGACAAAACAAAAAAGCGACATGTTGGCTTTATAATATTTTATTATCAGTTTATTTGCTTTACAGTAACCTGGCTCGTTTTAGAAATGGTTTTTACGTATTACATGCTCATGCATATTGATTAACTAGGAGAAGTAAACACAATATGCAAGTGATAATGGTATCTTTACGATAGAAAAGATGAAGTTATCACGTTTTTCGTAAAATGTTGAGTCAGTTTTTCATTAAGAACCTTCTGTAGAGAAAAATCCAAATTTAAAACACGTGTGTTAGACTCTATGGTGCATTTAATCTTTATTTTTCAATTCAATGGTGTATGTTGCAACAACATAGGGATTGGCATAAATGTTATAAATTCAAATAACGCCGCTGATATATCTTAAAGTCGAATCGAAGGCCACAGTAAGAGGCGTCTTATAAACGTTTTTGAATAGACTCTGCTTCATATAAATCTAAAAACAGGTCTTCTGATAATTAGGAACAATAAAAACTAATGACAATTCTGTGTGAATGCTGAAAGATCTGGTATTCAAAAAACATTGATATAGGAAAGTCAAGCTAAGAGTGTGTGCAGAGTGAGGATTTTTGGACATAGGTATACATTAGTCTGCATATGATCAATGACTAGTATATGATTTTTTAAAAAAGTTTTATATTTATTGCAAAAAGCAGTTGTAATTGATGTCAAAGAGTTTGGGTTAATATGAGTTTGATTCAATATGCAAAATTGTTGTATAAGTGTTGAATTGGATTTTTTGTTAGAATTTTGTTCTCAAATAAACAAGAATAAAAAAGTTAATAAATGAAGCACCTT